TGTACCCTAAGTTAGCTTGTAATGAGTATTTGGGAAAAAAATCCATTAGTTTAGTATGTTAGGTTTATTATAAATAGCATACTAGTCTCTCATCATTGCATACTATAAATCCTAATTTAGGGTGAGAGGGTTATTTTTTATGCTTGTGTACTTGTAATCTTGTTTAAAGAGAAAATAAAGAATAAAAGTTATAACCAATCCTTGTGTTCTTCTTGTTTTTCCATTTTTTCTACCCTTGATTGTTTCTTGATCATAAAGAAGCAATTTATACTTTGTTTTAAAGATATCGTTTTTCATGACATCCCAGAATGTAGTTAATTCTATGCATTTAGTTTGTAAAATAAAAACTCTTATTCAAGAATTGAGAGAAAATAGTTGAGATAAATTGTATGCTTTTGTTAATTCTTTTTATTGAAAACATGATATTGAGATTCCTTATCTTGATGATGTTCATTCAACAACAATATTTGGGCATTCTCGTCTTGAAGATAACTAGATAACCTTTGAGAATTATTTTAGACTTGAAATATTTTTCACTACCATTGACAAACAACTAGAAGAGTTGAATATCAGATTTAGTAAGAAAGAGATTGATTTGTTAACTCTTAGTTGTGCTTTGGCTCTACAAAATAATTATGAGGCTTTTAACCTTGATATTATTTTTACTCTAGTTGAAAAATATTATCTTATGAACTTCAATGAGCAAAAGAGGATTTATCTGTAATTTCAATTTCGACATTTTATTATTGACGCTCGTCAAGTATCGAGTTTGAATAATTTATCAACTATTCAAGATTTATATTTATCTTTGATTGCAACTGAAAAGAAGAAAATTTACTATTTGATTGATAGATTGTTCCGCCTTATCATGACTCTCCCTTTATCTATAGCCACAACTGAAATATATTTTACAACAATACAAATTATTATTACAAGATTGAGAAGTAAAATGTAAGTTGATTTTTGAGAAGATAACATGACAATTAACATTAAAAAAGAAATTGATGTAAGTATTAATTATGAGATTATTATTAATGATTTTAAATAATTCAAAGAAAATAGAACATTATTTTAAAGTATTTTTAAGTAATACTCTAATCATACTTTAATTTAGTGAACACCCCAAATTTTATAGTCTGACTCCGCCGGTGGCACTTGATGGCCTAATAAGAAGAGGTAAGTGTGAGTTATATGCTAGGTAAGTGTGAGTTATATGCGTTTGAAGAGATATTTGAAATAAACATTTGAAGAAAGATGGATGGATATTTATTTTTGAATAAGGTAACTAGTTAGTGCTTATCAATAGTGCTAGTACTAGCTCGTCACACCTATAGTTGTATTCATTAAGAAAGCAACATTGTTTATGATAGGTACACAATGAATCAATCGAATCCATTCAAATATATTCCTATGTTAATTAAGTGATTTGAACTTAAATTATATATAATTTAACTAGATAAATTTATAAGCTAAACTATGACGAAAGTTTATTTTCTTCTCCTTTTTTTGATGGAGATATCAAAGTTTCTTTGAGTTTGATTTATGGATGTTATAATGAAGATGTAGAAGCTCCATTTAAGTTTAAATGGAGGGAATCTCATATTAATATATTTTTTGATATTCAATTCATTTCTTTGATAAAACTTTACATAACCCTTTTTCTAACTAACTCATAACCTCTAAATTAACTGATGTAACTAACTATGTCTTGCTATAATTGACAACTTATACATTTCTAATACCCCCCTCAAGTTAGGGGATGGAGAGCCCACTTTAATTTTGCCACGAAGATCACAAAATGCTACAGAACCAAGGGCTTTAGTGAGGATATCAACAAGCTGAAATGTAGCATGAACATGTTGGACTGTCATATTTTTAGCTGTCACTCGTTCATGCACAAAGAGAATATCAAGTTCCACGTGTTTAGTCTGTGCATGAAGGATATGATTATCAGAGAGATGCACTACGCTCAGGTTATCACATAGGAGCGTGAGGGGAAGGAACTGTATGCAAAGCTCAGTCAGTAGAGACTCAATCCACATGAGTTTTGAATTTCAGTGAGCCAATGCATATTACTTAGCTTCTGCGTTGGATTAGGCAACGAGGGACTGTTTCTTAGAACTCCAAGCCACCAAGTTTGGCCCAAAAATATGCACGAACTGGAGGTGGACTGTTTGTCATCCACATCACCTACTCAATCATTATCATTATAAGCATGAAGAGAAGCTGGTAACTGTGATTTGGCAGGTAATAGCATACGACCAAAGTGGACAGTTCCACTAAGATATCGGAGAATGCATTTCACAATAGTCCAGTGAGAGGTAAGAGGAGATACCATGAACTTACATGCCTTGTTGACACTAGGAAATATCAGGGCATATACAAAATAATGCCTTTATGAGAATATACAAATAAAGAATGGTCATATTTACTTAACACAAACCCAAATTGAAACAGGGTCTGGTGCTCTCATACCACTAACTAGGAGCCTGCTTGAGCCCATACAAGGCCTTATGTAACTTGAACACTTAAGACTTGTTAGGACTTGAGAAGCAAGGGTGTTAGGGCTTGAATACATCTTCCTGCAAGTTTCCATTCAAAAAGGCATTATTTATGTCAATATGTTGGAGTTCCCATTTGTGATTTATAGCCAAGGTAAGCATCACCTTGATGGTGGTCAGATTCACAACTTGAGAGAACATTTCATTGTAGTCAAAACCTGGTTGTTGATGAAAACTCTTAGCAACCAAGCGAGCCTTGTACTTGTTCACACTACCATGAAGATTTTCTTTCACCTTGAAGACCCATTTACACCCCACAACTTTCCTATGTGCAGGCAGTGTGGTGAGAGACCAGGTTTTGTTAGTAATTAATGCATTATATTCAGCTTCCATTGCTTTGGCCCATTGAGGATTGGCTAGAGTTTCTTTGACTGAAGTAGGTCCAGTGATGGTAAGAAACACTCTGGGCTTAGAGTGACCAGTCTTGGCCCTAGTTAGCATAGGGTTCATGTTCGTAGAAGGTTCCTTTATATTCCTCAGAGGTATCATTATAAGGGAAAATAGATAACTTACTTGAGCAATGTGAAATGACAAACAGAGAGAGAGCGGGAGGGTCCACTTCATGTGCAGGTGACATGTCACACGAGACTTGAGCAATACTAGAGTCTATAGTATGAACAAACTCAGTAATAGGGCCAACAGGCACATGAGGACTAGAAGCAGGAATAACAGTCACTAACTCCGTAGGAATAGGATCAGATTTACCAGTCATGCTAGGTGGTTAAGGGAGACATAAGGTTAAACTAGATACCGTGTGGTCCACAGCACCTGTTGTAGCTGAAAAGAGAGATTAATAGGAAAATTTGTACTCATTGAAGGAGACATCTTTGGAGATAAACATCCTACCATCTTTATTAAGACACTTGTACCCCCTTTGTGTTAAGGAGAAACACACAAGAGTATACATTCTTCACTTTGAAATTAGAGCTTGTGTTGGTTGTAGGGTGTGAGTGAAGGGAATTATAAACATCCAAACACCTTGAGTGACTAATAGCTAGGAAGTGTCTTGTGTAATGCAAATTAAGGAGAAGTAAACACAAGTAAGCCAACAATAGGAAGCCTATTGATAATGTAAGTTTCCATGGTTAAATGTGATCCCAATAGGTCAGAGGTATGTAAGCATGGGCTAAAAGAGATAGGCTCATTTCAATAATCTGCATGTGTTTTCTCTCAACAAATCTATTATTATGAGACGTGTGAGGGCAGGAAAGCTTGCGAATAATACCTAGTTCACTGAGAAACTAGGTGAAGGGTCTATATTCTCCACCAAAGTCAAACTGTAATGCTTTGACATGAACCTGAAACTGAGTCCTAACATATGCATGAAACAACTTGAAAGATACAATAGCATCAAACTTTTGTTTAAGCAGATAAATCCAGGTGAATTTGGTACAAGCATAAACAAAATTAATGTAATAATAAAAACCAGTGTTTAACAAAAAGGGAGCAGGGCCCCAAAGGTAAGTGTACGCTAGACCAAAAGGGGATTCATACACAGGGAGCAAATGGGGAGCATGAACCATGTGAGCTTTACCCAGGAAAGAAGAACTGCAAATTTGAGGTCTAACTTTATTATGCACTTTAATATCACACAAGGTAATAACATGTCCATAATAAAAGAGCATCACAAGAATTACAATTGACTAGGGCTATTCTATGACTAGCATCAGTAGCCGACCTACGACTAGATGTACAATTATTTGAAGGAATGGAAACAATGCCATAAGCTTGTGGCTGAAGCAAGCGAGTGTAAGGGAATAAATACAAACCATTTTCAACAAGGTACCTTCAAGAACAACTTGATTAGAAACCTGAGATTTCATAAAACATTTGTTAGCACAAAATTAAAAAATGACACAATTATCCTTTGCAAATTCGGACACGGATAGCAAATTTCGAATAATTTCAGACACATGTAAAATATGCTTAAGCACAAGTGTGATATGAGGAAAATTCTATGACACCAACTAGAAAGAACCCACAGACTTAAATGACAAACTTTAACCATTCCCAATTTGAACTCTATCATTACCTACATAAATGGATTTATATTGTATGCAGGAATCAAAACTAGTGAGGTGATGTGAGGCACCTGGATCTGCAAACCATACTTGAGATTCTAGATCACATGGCATGAAATACTCCTCAGTGTACATATGTGACTCACTGGTTGCCATATTTGTTATGGGAGCATTGAAACTTCTAGGTACAGAAGGTGCTTCAGCCTAGACCTAACTTTCATTTGCTGGCACATTTCCTCGAACACTTGGTGGACGAGGCAAGAGAATAAAGTATTCGTCAAAACAGTGCCAACAATCAAGAATTGCATGACCGTACTTTCCATAGAGTTGACAAGAAGGTTCATTGCCAGTATTTTCACTCCTAGAGGATTCACAACCATGAAACCTGCTACTATGCCCACGTCCATGCAAACTTGCATTACCGCGACCAATCACCAGATGCATGTTGAGCAAGATTTGAAGAAGTATTGGATACAGAGAGTTCTTGCTGAAAATTATCTAGTTGGGCTTCCAGGACATAAAGCAATTCTTTAATGTCATAGATTGTAGGAGGTTCCGATTTATCATAAACTTGCATCATAATAGAATTATATTCCTTCAAAAGTCCATCAAGGATGGCATCGATCTCATCTTCTTCAGAGATGTAGTCTCCTACTAAGAGAAAGGAATCAACAATTAATTTGATGCGAATAACAAATTTAGATACATATTTGTTAAGTTTCTTTGAAGTTTTGAGCTCTGTGCAAAGTTGTCGCACATGCGCTTCCATGACAATAGTGAAGTGCTTGTGGACCCAAACTTCATGTGAGCGTTTGCAAAAAAGTAATCGCGGAAGCACCGTCAGAGAGATCATTAGAAACAACCAGATGAACAACACTTGATCGTACACCATCCACATCTCATATTCAATGACACCAGGTTCTGGCAGCGGTCGTCATCAGTCTTGAACATTGGCGGAATCGTCAGATTGATTACATACCGATGAAGTTTGTGTGAGAGAATCACACCTTCAACCTCTTAATTTCAGAGCTGGTAGTTATTGTCTCGTAGTTTGATGGATAGTTTCCGTCCAAACAAAGAGGAAGAAGACGAACCACCAAACACCATAGGATTTTTTATATAAGACTCGGTAAAGCTGCAAGAAAAAGTTAGTTTGGGATTATTGCAAGGGATCAAATGTTGTTCAATAGTCTATATATTTGGTAAAGTAAAACATATGAACAAGTAAATAATGCATTCTTTAGAGAGGAGAGAACTCGTCAAAATTGGATTTCATCTACCCATCAAATACTTAAATCTATCAATCAGTTGTACGCAATCTAAAACACTCATTAATATCATCATGTATCCCTCACATCAGTGTTCATGCCTGAAGCACTGACGAGAATGCTACTGTATTGTCTCATTGATTATGTCTGACACAACTAAACAACACAACATTGAGAATAGATAACCACTGTAAATATTAGTTCTAAATCTATTTCTAAAGTTTAGAACCTAATGAATGTTCATCCTAAATCCAGATTTAAAGAGTATATGTCTATAGCAACTCAAATCCAAACATAAAACAAGTAAACAAGGATAACATCAATATAGATTTGTAAAATAGATCTTGTACGACGTCATGATCAATACATAGATATAAAATCAAAGTAAACTTACAAACAAACTCCAACAATAAAGAATACAAAGAGAAGAAGGAAGATTAACCAACAACTCTCGTGGTCCCAAGACGATTGTTGTAAATCCAACTCCGGATCATCAAGATGTAGTCTCTAATGTTGTTTTCTAAGCCTCTCTACTCAAAGAATGACGATCACACCTCTCTAAAAATGGTGGATGCCCTAAAAATCTGTTATGAATTCTATTTATACACATCTACAATTGCAGACCACGCTTAGCCCATTTTTTTGTGCTTAGCGTGCTTCCACTTAAAACACTTAAATTGCCTTATGCTGCAGAGCACATTTAACCCCAAATAACGCACTAAGCATGCTACCTCCCGTCAAGAAAAGTTCAAACACGCTTTAAGCGCGCTTAGCCCGACCCCGAGACTCTTTATTTCCATAAAAAAATTACATCTTTAAGCTTTATTTGCCCTATGATTCTCAATGCTTCAACCATGCAAAGAATCCTACAAAATAAGATAACAAATGATTAATCTATATAATATTTACATGATAAAACTATAAAGCTATTATTTACACTGAAGTTGAGGTTTTGACTTATTAATACAAAGAATCAAGCTAATAAGTACCACAAAATACTACTACTAATAACTACAATTTCACACTAATAAAACTCTCCCTAACTTAGAACTTTGTTTATCCTCAAATAAAAGTCGCACAAACTTAAAGAAACAAAAGCAACCACCAAGAAATCATGAACCAACAAACTTGGAAAAACAAAAACAAATGCATGGTTTAAAATTACCATGACAACGTAACTTCCTTTCAAACTTTTATCATTACCATGACATTTTCTTGTTGACACACTCAAACTTGAACAATCACACCACGTCTCTTCAAGAAAATCAAAATCAAGCTTTTTGGACAAACACAAAAGTTTCTAACAACTAAAAAATTCAAACTATTAAAATATTAAAAATACTAAACACATAACAACATAAGTTCAAAATGCCGAGAATTTTTCCAAGTGTAGAAGCGCGCTAAACGAGAAGAACTGCAACATGAATTTCAAAAAATACCAATTTTATCAATCATTCCATCCACTCTCACTTTTTACTACCTATATTACTAAATGCAAAACTATAAAAATTTATAAATATGAGGTTGTCTCCCAACAAGCATTTGTTTTACATCGTCAACTCGACGCCTTTATTCATGCATAAATGCTCCTTTATGTTGCCTCTTTGCTTGACTAGTTGTTCACCAACGACTACTCCTAAGAAATCACTTTAGCAAACATGAAGGAAAACAAAAATATATACAATATACACAAGTATATAAAACATGTACAAAGCAAATATATACACTGTAGACACGTATGGAAATTATGTACAAATATACAAGTATGAAAATCATAGACAAGTAAATAAACAAGTATAAATATACACGTGTAAATACAATATAGATAATATGTACAAAGATGAAAAACATAGAAACTATTGCAATGTTTTCAATATCTAAACACCAATCCCCGACAACGGTGTCATTTGTTGCGACGTAGTAAAACGACAACCAAAGTTTAGTTTGGAAGTATTTCAAGTTTTATCGTATCCACAAGGATCGATGTGAGGGATCAAATGTCGTTCAATAGTCTCTATATTTCTAAGCTTGGTTTGAATAGTTTAAAAGTGTAAAATGCGGAAAGTAAAACATATGAACAAGTTAATAATGCATTCTTTAGAGAGGAGAGAACTCATCGGGATTGAATTTAATCTATCCATCAAATACTTAAATCTACCGATCAGTTATACACAACCTAAAACACTCATCAATATAATCACGTATCCCTCACATCAGTGTTCATGTCTGAAGCATCAACGAGAATTCTACCGTATTATCTCGCTGATGATGTCTCATGCAACTAAACAACACAAAGCGTTAAGAATTGATACCCACTGTGAATATTAGTTCTAAATCTATTTCTAAACAAGTAAACAAGGACAACATCGATATAGATTTATAAAATAGATATTGTACAACGCCATGATCAATACATATATATATATAAAATCAAATTAAACTTACAAACAAACCCCAACAATAAAGAATACAAAGAGAAGAAGGAAGATTAACTGGAAACTCTCATGATGTCAAGACGACTGTTGCAAATCCAACTCCAGATCATCAAGATGCAACCTTTAATGTTGTTTTCTAAGCCTCTCTATTCAAAGAATGGTGATCACACCTCTCTAAAAATGATGGATGCCCTAAAAATCTATTATGAATTCTATTTATACACATCTGAAATCGCAGACTGCGCTTAACCCACTTTTCTGCGCTTAGCGCGCTTTCACTTAAAACACTTAAATCGCCTTATGCTGCAGAGCGCGCTTAGCCCCAAATAGTGCGTTAAACGTGCTGCCTCCTGTCCAGAAAAAGTCCAAGCACACTTTGAGTGCGCTTAGCTCGACCTGTAACTCTTTATTTCCATTCAAAAATTGCATCTTGAAGTTTTATTTGCCCTATGATGCCCAATGCTTCAACCATGTAAATAATTCTATAAAATAAGATAAAAAATGATTAATCTATACAATATTTACATGATAAAACTATAAATCTATTATTTACACTAAAATTGAGGTTTTGACTTATTAATACAAAGAATAAAACTAATAAATGTTACAAAATACTACTAATAATAACTACAATTTGACACTTATAAAAGACGCACGATTATTGAAAACTGACGATGAATCATTGACTTCTTCTATAGAATCGATCAAAAAAACTGATCAAGCAAGCAAGAAAATAAAACAGAAAACTTATCAATAAGCAAAGGATACCATATTGAAGCTTTATTTAAACTTGAATGAAGATAATATCAAATTCATCTTTGATATTGATAAAATTTTACACAAATAAAAGTTAAGTATATATAGGCTTGGAAGACACTGGGGTAATGAGATAACAAACTATCTCTTATATAACCACTTTTCTGACTAACTCCTAACCTCCAAACTAACTGATGTAACTAACTATCTCTTGTTATAACTAATTCAACTTATAACATTTCTAATAGAATACTGCCATATTTTCAAAATAAGAGTTTTGAAAAATGACATATTTTCAAAATAAGTGTATATGTGAGCTAACCTTAAATAGTGTGCCATACATACCACAAACATTCCTACAAATACAGAGTTTCTCTTATTGTACTATTTTAATCTAGTACACGCATCTAAAATTTTATCTTTTAGAATGAAACACTTTTTTCAAATTAAGTACAAAGTGCCTAGTAACATAATCGATACTAGTTCGTTGCACGTGCGCATATATATATATATATATATATATATATATATATATATATATATATATATATATATATATATATATATATATATATATATATATATATATATATATATATATATATATATATATATATATATATATATATATATATATATATATATATATATATATATATATATATATATATATATATATATATATATATATATATATATATATATATATTATATGATGATTCAATTAAAAAAATTTTATCAAGCTATAATAGAAGTTTCTTTTCTTCTTCCTTTTTGAATGAAAGCATTGTTGCTTCTTTGAGTTTCATTCATGGATGTTGCAATAAAGAATGATCACTACAAAATAAGTTGAGTTTTGTCACGTGAAAGTCACGCCACTAACACCCAAAACACGTCACTACTCAAATTTTGCCACCTTAAAGAACACGTCGCTATATAGCGCGTGGCAATCTTGTTGCAGCGTGAAAAACATGTCACTAAGTTGCCACGTGAAATTCACGCCGCAACATACTGTATAGGGTAAAAGAATTCAGAGCAGAGTAGAGCAGGCTTATAATTTTTGTAACGTTAGCTTTAGCGACGTGTTTTTCACGTCACTAATTAGTGACATGAAAAACACGCCGCAACCTTGTTTTATTTATAAAAAAAAAATTCTGTTTTAAATATATTAATTATGTTTTAATAATTAATATTATTTTTTGTTTTATTAAATTTATAAATTAAATATTATAATTTAATTATTAAATACAATATTATTAATCAAATTATCAAAAACAAAACTAAATATATATCTAAATGTATAAATAAATATACTTAATATTATAAATTTAATAAACTCAAATTTAAATTTATAATATTTTTAAATATACCATATCATTATAAATTTATATTACACAAATAAAAAACTAAATACAAAATAAAAATAAAACTAAGCAGAG